AGAACCACTAAGTGCTTGTCCTGTGCACTTTGTCACTTTGTCAACATCAGAAAATACACTACATGGCCATATGTATGTGGACACCCCTTCAAATTAGTGGATTCTGCTATTTCAGCCACACCCGTTGCTGACAGGTGTATCAAATCGAGCACACAGCCATGCAATCTCCATAGACAAACATTGGCAGTAGAATAGCCTTACTGAAGAGCTCAGTGACTTTCAACGTGGCACCGTCATAGGATGCCACCTTTCCAACAAGTCCGTTTGTCAAATTTCTGTCCTGCTAGAGCTGTCCCGGTCAACTGTAAGTGCTGTTATTGTGAAGTGGAAACGTCTAGGAGCAACACAAGCTCACAGAATGGGACCGCTGAGTGCTGAAGCATGTAGCGCATAAAAAATGGTCTGTCCTCGGTTGCAACAATCACTACTGAGTTCCAAGCTGCCTCTGGAAGCAACGTCAGCACAAGAACTGTTGGTCGGGAGCTTCATGAAATGGGTTTCCATGGCCGAGCAGCTGCACATAAGCCTAAAATCACCATGTGCAATGCCAAGCGTCTGCTGGAGTGGTGAATCACGCTTCACCATCTGGCAGTCCAACGGACTAATCTGGGTTTGGCGGATGCCAGGAGAACGCTACCTGCCCGAATGCATAGTGCCAATTGTAAAGTTTGGTGGAGGAGGAATAATGTTCTGGGGCTGTTTTTCATGGTTTGGGCTAGGCCCCTTAGTTCCAGTGAAGGGAAATCTTAACGTTACTGCATACAATGACATTCTAGATGATTCTGTGCTTCCAACTTTGTGGCAACAGTTTGGGGAGGCCTTTTTATGTTTCAGCATGACAATGCCCCTGTGCACAAAGCGAGGTCCATAAAGAAATGGTTTGTCGAGATCGGTGTTGAAGAACTTGACTGGCCTGCACAGAGCCCTGACCTGAACTCCATCGAACACCTTTGGGATGAATTAGAACGCAGACTGCGAGCCAGGCCTAATCGCCCAACATTAGTGCCAGACCTCACTAATGCTCTTGTGGCTGAATGGAAGCAAGTCCCCACAGCAATGTTCCAACATCTAGTGGAAAGCCTTCCCAGAAGAGTGGAGGCTGTTATAGCAGCAAAAGGCGGACCAACTCCATATTATGCCCATGGTTTTGGAATGAAATGTTCGACAAGCATGTGTCCACATACGTTTGGCCATGTAGTGTACCTTCATCCATGCTTTCCATTAGGGTTGTATGATATGATCTGTCTTTCTCACGAGGCTAACACTACGGTAATACTGGATTCCAACACTATGACCTTGAAGCACTTGGCTAAGGCTCGTACCACACATCATAAATTGGTTCCTCATTCATATTCTATTCATGTGTTTATATATGGCAAACAAATGGAGGAAAAAGAAGAGCGAGAGAGAGAGAGAGAGAGAGAGAGAGAGAGAGAGAGAGAGAGAGAGAGAGAGAGAGGGGAGAGATGGTGCATGTCTGAGTGTGTACCAGCAGCCCTCCTGTACCTCAGGAAAGCACAGCTCCCAGCTCTTCAGCGGTGCAGAGAGAGATGAGACTGCATCCTCATCAGAAAACTGCTGGAAGCCAGCGATGATGAATAGGGTCGCTGTGAGTATTCATTCCCTGTAAAAGCGCCATTCTTCGCCTTCCGTCTCCCACTGCTGAGATGTGCTCAGAAGGAAGAAAATGTATCTGAAATATGGGAAACTAATGCTCTCATTGGTGGGAAGCAGCTTGGTCTGTAATATTCTCCTTATTAATTGCCTTACTATGGCTAATTAGTATATCAGAGCCATTGGTCCTAATGAGCGATGGTTGCCCACAGTTGGTTTAATGGAGAGCTAACAAAGGGCTCCCCATGAATGATTCATTGGTCTGGGAATGTGTCTCCTGGTACGGCCCTACTAAACCAGCCTGAGCCCATCTCTTGACATCAAGCTAAGGGGAGATGACTCTAGAGCCCTGGAGACCTCAACAAGTCGTAGAGGCAATGCTGCACGGTCCCTATTTCAGCTATTGCCATCCTGCAGGGGGGAATGTATGAATATCACACTCTTTTCAGTTTAAAAGGCAATTTCACCGCAACTCCTCTCAGCGCAAGCCATCTGGGGGTTTCTGCAGACCTTGAGAGTGACTGCAGCAGGGGAAATAAATGGAACTTATTCAAACTGCACCAGCGGGATAGAGCCTCCACTTTACTGACATACGGGTGGCCATTTTAAAAGCAGAGGATGTCCAGCGGGTGACCGACAAATAAAGCAAACTCCATGCAGGATTTTGTTGACCTCATGTCATGTTGTCATATGTAAAGTGTGATGCTCTGTGCCACACTACAGTCTAGAACAGGGCTGCCCAACCCTCTTCCTGGAGTTCTACCGTCCTGTGGCTTTTCAGTCCAACCCTCTTCCTGGAGTTCTACCGTCCTGTGGCTTTTCAGTCCAACCCTCTTCCTGGAGTTCTACCGTCCTGTGGCTTTTCAGTCCAACCCTCTTCCTGGAGATCTACCGTCCTGTGGCTTTTCAGTCCAACCCTCTTCCTGGAGATCTACCGTCCTGTGGGTTTTCAGTCCAACCCTCTTCCTGGAGTTCTACCGTCCTGTGGCTTTTCAGTCCAACCCTCTTCCTGGAGTTCTACCGTCCTGTGGCTTTTCAGTCCAACCCTAATTTAACACACCTGATTCTACTTATTAGCTGCTCAACAAGACCTTAACTAGCTGAATCAGATATGCTAAATTAGAGTCGGACTGAAAGCCTACAGGACAGTAGATCTCCAGGAAGAGGGTTGGGCAGCCCTGGTCTAGAACAACATAAAATGCAAGAGAGGTAGGAAAGCCAAGGAGCCCCTGGATATTATCTTCAAGGCACTTGACAAGTTAATTGGGCATTGTATTTTAAACACATTGTGATGCATTTGAAAATTGAGAAAGAGGCACTTTTAAGTGATCCCTCATAGAGCCAGAATAATTGGCTTTTTGAGAAATAAAGTAATGGAGGTCACTTTAATAATAGTGATGAGAAAAGTAACACAAATGAATTTGTCCAAACATGCCCTGAAAGTTAAACTTCTTTAGAACTTTTATAATAGTTTGCGGACCACAATTAAAGCTCCTATGTATTTGATTAATTAGTGAGTAATACTTTTAGAAAAGGCCATACTTTTAACTGCTCTGTGTCGCAATTAACAACAAACAAACAACGTTGGTTTGGTGCTTGCAACTGTCTGTCTGTCTCTTTTAAATTTTAGTCATTTAGCAGACGCTCTTATCCAGAGCAACTAGGGTTAAGTGCCTTGCTTAAGGGCACATCAACAGATTTTCCACCTAGTCGGCTCGGGGATTAGAACCAGAGACCTTTTGGTTACTGGCACAACGCTCTTACCCACTAAGCTACCTGTGTGCTCTTCAGAGGAGGAAGGGAAGGACCATTCTCCTCAGTGAATTTCATACAAATTAAATTATTATCCTTTTTAGATAAAACTATACTAAATATATTCACGTCACCAGATAATTGATTAAAACACACTGTTTTGCAATGAAGGTCTACAGTAGGGTAGCATCATTGTGTAGTCGGAGAACAGCTAGCTTCCGTTTTCAGTCTAATATTGTCAATCAGGACACAGAACACAATTTCAGAGTCATTAAAATGTTCCCATCCTCTTATGCTGTGCACTTGTAACACTGTATTATATGATTTAGCACTTCTTTTTTGGGGGGGACAATTTTAATTGAAAACAATCACAGTAAGGTACTTAATTGTTACCCAGAAATTATTTGAAATTGAGGTCAACACCAAACAGCAACACCCTGATACAAATTATCTGAATGTAAGCACAACTGGACAGTTTTAATGTTTTTGGTAACCTATCGCTTGTCATATCCCCACAACGTTCCCACAACCTAAAGAAACATTCTGGGAACCTTTAAAGAACAGACTAAATGTGTTCTGGGAACGTTCTTGTAACATCAGGTGAATGTTTTTTTCACCCTAAAATAAACATTGTATAATCATCCGCACAACTAGACATTTTTTAGTGTTTTAGGAACATATCTTTTGTGATGTCCGCACAATGTTCCCACCAGACTGTACCCATAACCTAATGAAACATTCTGGAAACCTTCAAAGAACAGACAACATGTGTTCCGGGAACGTTCTTGCAACATCAGGCAAATGTTTTATACAAGCATTGTACAGTATATTCATCAGCACGACTGGACAGTGTTTGTGTTATGAGAACATTTTCTGCAACCTAACGAATGTTCTGAGAACTTTCACAGAACCAATATTTGGTTTGCTGGGAAAACATTACTGGTACATTGTGTTATTACATTACCTGGAAACTTAATGAGAACTTTTGGGGAATGTTCTGTGGTGGTTGTTTCAGATGTTGTGCACAACATTTTAGTGAATGTTCCAAGGATATTTCATTTAAAACATATAACAAATAAATAAATAAATGTTATTAAAAACATTATTTGAATGTTTTTGGGATGTTATCATCCTAATGTTAGATAAAACCCTAACTAGAACTTAAAGCTGCAATATGTAACTTTTTGGGCGAACCGATCAAATTCACATAGAACTGTCAGTTATAGATCTGTCATTATCATTGAAAGCAAGTCTAAAAAGTGATAGATCTGTTCTATGTGCACTATTTCTATCCTGTTTAAAAATTTTGTTTTTGCGTCTGTAACTTTTTTTTATACACCAGCTTCAAACAGCTGAAAATACAATATTTTTGATTATGTAAAATATATTTTACAGCAGTTTAGATGGTACAATGATTCTCTACACTATAATTGCTTGTTTTGTGACATAAACTGAAAATAGGCAAACTATTAGAATTTTAGCAACCAGGAAATGGCGGAGCAATTTCTGCATCGTGCATCTTTAATGGAATCTTAGCTAATGTTCTGGGAATGTTCCTGGTTTGCTGGGACCATACATAAACATTGGCGATTCCCCTACACAACAGCTGGGCGTGACACAGGTTGATACAGGGATCAGACACTCACCGTCCATCCTCCTCCATCCGTTGTCATGTCACAGAAGACCTGGAAGCCAGCAGGGTAGTGCATGGGAAAGACAGAGTAGATCCCATCCTCCCGCTGGCCACTTGCGTAGATATCGCTGCAGTCCCGAGGTCTGGAGCCTAGCGAGATCAGATAGACACCTGATTAACGTTTAAATCCTGGATTTTATCATAGAAATTATTCAATTAAACCAGTGAGCTCCAACATTTTCTTCTCTTAATAGTCTGCCCTGTCTGAATCTGTCCAGACAGCTTCACTTCATCATGTCCAAATCCTGTACCGTATAGAAATGCAATTTTTGTACAAAAATAATTTGGGGTATCAGAGGTAGTATGCAAACATATTTCAATATGAAGCTGTGCTTTTTTCCTTCTAGTGCAATTGTGAACAACAATAGCCTTGTCAGACAGTAAATACATTTAGTTGGCCAAACATATGGTTCACTTCAGCTCAAAGGATCAACCATTTCTACAGCTGACATGGTGTAGTTAGGAGATGTCCATGCACTCATTGCCTTTTTCTCCTTCCACCAGCCACCACTGGTGTCCATCCATAGGCCTACCATTGGAGCAGCCTTTGGGCCGGGCACTGCGGACAGGTGCTCTCTGGAGGTCTGCCTTGAACTTGCCCTTCAGGTTCCCCGTCTCCTTCTGCATGGAGTTGAGGGCATCGTTCACTGAGTTCATCACCTTCACCATGTTGATCTGGCTCTCAGATAGCAGCTGGAAACAAACACACAAACATCCCTTAAAACACCCACTCTGTAGTTGGAAAAACAATTTAACAACACACACACAAATTAGATTAGATTTCCCTTGATAGACATACGACTAACAGCAAACCCCACACAATTGGGAGTAAATGCTATTAGAAAAGGGCTCTCTCTGAGTGTGAGTGTTCATTCATCAGAATGAGGATGTTTTAGGAAGTCTACAGTAGCCTCGTAATTACCAGACTGGAATCTGAGTAGCGAAACAGAATGTAAGCTCACAAGATTTCTGGATGGTTGTATGAGGTTAAGTCTACAGTAAGGAGAGGTGACATAGGAACTCTTTGGAGACCCACAATGACATTGATGACAGCTGATGGGAGCGCACTTCCTGTGCACATGGTGAAAACATGATCACTCTCTGCACATACCCCCCCCCCCCCACCTTACCCTCGCCCCCTCCCTAACACACTTCTGTAGCAACAGCACTTGCCTGTCAATCACGAGTGGGCCTCAAACCACAACGCTGGTATGAAAAATACATGCTAACCACAGGAGGTGTACACTCCACTCCTCTCTTCTGATCTGCTGAAGCCCTCTCTTTTCTCACGCGGTAGAACAACTCCTACAGCAGTTTGATATACTGTACTTTGATATACTGTACTTTGGTATACTGTACTTTGATATACTGTACTTTGATATACTGTACTTTGGTATACTGTACTTTGATATACTGTACTTTGATATACTGTACTTTGGTATACTGTACTTTGGTATACTGTACTTTGATATACTGTACTTTGGTATACTGTACTTTGTGGGGGAAAAATACACAGAATATAAAACTACGAGCAGAACACAGTATCTGTATTTCCAGCAATATGTTGTCTTGTAAAATTGTGCCACGATACATTTTGTCACTGTGAAAATGCTCCAGGATATGATTTGCTCGAACTCTCGGCTTGGAAAACGTGATGTAGGCCTACAATTATCATTTGAAAACATATCATATGTGCCCTACAACAAAATAACAATAAATATGACAAGGGGGGTGCCAAATATAGAAATTACACTGTGCTCTGAGATTCAGTTATCACCCCTTTATAATTGAAAACACATACAGAGGTCTCTCCATTAAAATCAATAACTAAATTACCCCACCTCTCTCTCCTTTCCTCCAAAACGTTTTTCTTATCTCTCTATTCTACACGCACTGACTATTCTCAACACTGTCAAATGGCTTCCCAGAAAGCACTGCCTGGAAAGCACAACGACACTCCTCGCTTTTACCTGCTACCTTGTATGAGGGAGAAGGCCTTGGCTCTACTCTCTAAATGTCAATTTCGTCTGAGAGTGTTTCTACATCTTAGGCTATGGGTCTCCGACACTCAGTGTGTAAATGTGAATGTGAATGTGCAGCAGAGTCGGGCTGGCTGTCAGTAAGGGGATGCCACTTGAAAAGAGGGCAAGGACAAGGGAGCGGGAGAAGTGCCAACCAGTATTAATTTAACGGCTCGGGTGACAGATGAATCGAGGTGAGTCATGCCTCCTTCTTGATTCCCATGACTTTCTGAGGGTAGAGACGGCAAAGGGCAGAGATGGTTGTTTCTGTGACAGAGGCTATAATCACCCCGGCCCTGATGGAATCTAGCACTGTAGCGACGGACCGGGTATCTATCGCCTGTAGTGATCGTTTTAATGAGGTTACTTTGATAATAAAGTGACAGTATGCAGCAGAGCTCTTGCAGGACATTGAATTCACAGCGGGAATCGAGGTAGTGAACTACTACAGCACCACCTCTATTACTTTTTTTTAAGGAGATCGGAATTCCAATTCCCTTTCGTATTCCATTATTTAGGACAGCGTAGTAGAAAGGAGAAAAGGAGACAGATGCAGAGGGGGTAGTCAGATAGGAAGGGCTCAAACATGTTTAGAACCCCTGGGGTCTGAAGTCAGCAGCACTACTGTACCACTAGACCAGACTCTGGAACCATCCACTTCTACCACAACTGTCTAAAAATGATGCCCTGCAAATAATATCTGCGACTTTTATCCAAAAGCGACTTACAGTCATGCGTGCATACATCTTACATATGGATGGTCCCAGGAATCAAACCCACTACCCTGGTGTTATAAACGCCATGCTCTATCAACTGAGCTACAAAGGACTGCAAAGCTAGTTTCACAGCCCCTATACCTCACACTCTCCTTATGCAACCACTTTTGCTTGCCATACTAGGCTAACATATGGAATTGTTTTAAGAAGGTCATACCAAGGATAATTTAGATATTTAATTAGGAATTTTAGGACCCCTTTAGTTATAAAAAGAATATATAAAATAATTATTTGATGAAACATTGAATTTGGTCTTACTGCTATTAGCCCATAGAAACACATTTAATAACAGATTCATACATGGAAAAACAGATAGTCATAAAATAAATAAAAAGGAAGTTTGTTTTGAAGTGTCTGTCCTATATCTGAAGATCAGGAAGAAAGATCAGGGAATGATATTTTTAAAAAAATGTAACCCCTTTTTTTAGGCACTAAACTACTTCCATATACGATATACAGTGGGGGAAAAAAGTATTTAGTCAGCCACCAATTGTGCAAGTTCTCCCACTTAAAAAGATGAGAGAGGCCTGTAATTTTCATCATAGGTACACGTCAACTATGACAGACAAATTGAGAATTTTCTTTCTCCAGAAAATCACATTGTAGGATTTTTAATGAATTTATTTGCAAATTATGGTGGAAAATAAGTATTTGGTCACCTACAAACAAGCAAGATTTCTGGCTCTCATAGACCTGTAACTTCTTCTTTAAGAGGCTCCTCTGTCCTCCACTCATTACCTGTATTAATGGCACCTGTTTGAACTTGTTATCAGTATAAAAGACACCTGTCCACAACCTCAAACAGTCACACTCCAAACTCCACTATGGCCAAGACCAAAGAGCTGTCAAAGGACACCAGAAACAAAATTGTAGACCTGCACCAGGCTGGGAAGACTGAATCTGCAATAGGTAAGCAGCTTGGTTTGAAGAAATTATTAGGAAATGGAAGACATACAAGACCACTGATAATCTCCCTCGATCTGGGGCTCCACGCAAGATCTCACCCCGTGGGGTCAAAATGATCACAAGAACGGTGAGCAAAAATCCCAGAACCACACGGGGGACCTAGTGAATGACCTGCAGAGAGCTGGGACCAAAGTAACAAAGCCTACCATCAGTAACACACTACGCCGCCAGGGACTCAAATCCTGCAGTGCCAGATGTGTCCACCTGCTTAAGCCAGTACATGTCCAGGCCCGTCTGAAGTTTGCTAGAGTGCATTTGGATGATCCAGAAGAGGATTGGGAGAATGTCATATGGTCAGATGAAACCAAAATATAACTTTTTGGTAAAGACTCAACTCGTCGTGTTTGGAGGACAAAGAATGCTGAGTTGCATCCAAAGAACACCATGGGGGTGGAAACATCATGCTATGGGGCTGTTTTTCTGCAAAGGGACCAAGACGACTGATCCGTGTAAAGGAAAGAATGAATGGGGCCATGTATCGTGAGATTTTGAGTGAAAACCTCCTTCCATCAGCAAGGGCATTGAAGATGAAACGTGGCTGGGTCTTTCAGCATGACAATGATCCCAAACACACTGCCCGGGCAACGAAGGAGTGGCTTCGTAAGAAGCATTTCAAGGTCCTGGAGTGGCCTAGCCAGTCTCCAGATCTCAACCCCATAGAAAATCTTTGGAGGGAGTTGAAAGTCCGTGTTGCCCAGCGACAGCCCCAAAACATCACTGCTCTAGAGGAGATCTGCATGGAGGAATGGGCCAAAATACCAGCAACAGTGTGTGAAAACCTTGTGAAGACTTACAGAAAACGTTTGACCTGTGTCATTGCCAACAAAGGGTATATAACAAAGTATTGAGAAATTTTTGTTATTGACCAAATACTTATTTTCCACTATAATTTGCAAATAAATTCATTAAAAATCCTACAATGTGATTTTCTGGATTTTTTTCCCTCATTTTGTCTGTCATAGTTGACGTGTACCTATGATGATTACAGGCCTCTCTCATCTTTTTAAGTGGGAGAACTTGCACAATTGGTGGCTGACTAAATACTTTTTTCCCCCCACTGTACTTCCCTTAATTTTTTTAAACTGGTACTTGGCAACCTTCAGACGAGTCTTGTGAGGCTAGTGGGCATCTTATAACAAAACAACTAACATGTACGTGTTTGTTAGAGTCTCATCTTTCCATAGACGGGTCATAATAGATTGGTTTCATCTCGTTGTTATGACCACGTCACAGCCATGATAGAAATGTCACAACACATGGTCTCTAATGTATTATTGCTTAATTATGACCTACTTAGCTGTTGTGATTCCCCCTGATAAAAGGTAGAAAAGACAGTAGGTTAGGAAAGTAGATCTCTTTTTCCATTTTGTAGTTAAATCCAATATTACAGAAGTAGAGTGAGTTGGCAAACAAGTAGAGAGGTATGAGAGGAGATACAGACAAAGACTTTCCAAAAAGTGTTTTTCTCTCTGGCAGACCTTAAAGGCCCAATGCAGCCATTTTATATCACTAACCACATTTTCATCCACAGTTTTTATGTAAGTAAAGTCATAGCGTATAAAAAAAATCACGACAACTGTGATGGAAACAAGTAGTTTCGGTACAATTTTATAAATGCCTGCAGACAATTTGTTTGTTTGACATGGTGGGATCTTTTTTAAGTTAATTATGCGAGAAATGGTGGTGGAAACGCCTTTATGCGCAAATATTGATATAATAACCATCATATCGAAGTAAACTTGGAGTCACGTGATGATATGGTGTGTGGTTCTCCCACTATGACTCGGGAAACCACGCATTTTATTAGGCTACAGATTAAATAAATTATGATGAACTTCACAGGGTGGTGAGAGTGCACGGTGATCTTGATATATATGGATAAATATGGAGGGTCTTATTCTGGTGAGATGATGATTGATGCTTGACTGCC